CCTTACCCCCCCCCCCCCCCCGGAAAATGCCGACCGGCTCTCCAAAAAGCTGGTGACATCCCTGCATTTAGATAAAAGGTAAAAGTAGGTAAACCTGTGACTTGCAGCTTTCACTAGGCTGAATTGTGCACAGGACTAACTCATTCAGACATTTTTTTTTCAACTAAGGGTCACATCATATCCAATCATCTGCCAAGTGGCGTGTTTTTGTCGCCCACAATGACAGAGGCTGAATGGACCAGTACATTAGGGTAACACCTGACTCTTCTTGAAGGATGTACTGGGTTCTTTGAAGTGCACACGAGCCAATTGTGTACACTGGGACTACAGTACGGTTTAGAGTGATAATGTACTGTTATAGTGCTGTCATGCAAGCACTGTATACTCACATGACGTGGAGGGTTTGTAGCTGTAAAAAACTAAGGGTGGGTGATAGATATTTCAAGGGTGTTTGGGTGATAACATTGGTGAACACTAAACAATAAAAGTGGATTTTAAGGATGGAAAAGTGGGTTAATAAGGGTGGGTGGATGGCCATGAAATTAGCTTTAGACTGGGTGGAAAACTTCAAAGCTGGGTGGCCTGCCCACCATAACTACATCCCTCAGCACGGTACAGTATGTGAATATTTGTAACCATGAGGTATGCACAAGGCAGCACCATCTGAAAGCAGGTGGTACAATGGCAAGAAGGCTACAGTACTAATCAAAATTTAAGGGCATGAGTCCGAGGTTAACACTATTGCCTCCTTGGGAAAAACACTTTAACTGTGACATATAAATGTATTCAGCAGTATGAAAAGTGGGAGAATTAAAACTGTAGTGTACAGTGGCTCAGTGCCGGATTAAGCATTGTCTGGCCTCAAGGCACATTTTGTAAATGGCCCAAAAATGTTAATTGAATGGACCCCATGGTAATAATACTCTGCCACAACTCTAACAGTAGAATGTCTCCAAGTTTTCTGGCCTAATAATACTGGAAAATAGAGTGTAAATAATATTGCAGTCCAACTTTTGATGGCCCATCATTTTCGCCTGGCCCACAAAGCTTGTGCCTTATTTGCCTAATGGTTAATCTGGCACTGCAGCGGCTAATTTCAACAGTTAATACACTGCACATTTCCACAACGTGGAATACTTTTCTGAGCAGTATGGATTTTATTTCACAAATATTAGATTCAATATCCACATAATGATAAGGTTTTATTGGCATTATAGTGTATTGTAGTATAGATAGTATAGATCATGTAAATGAGAGGAATCATGTTAATTCCACACAGGATGCTAATGACAATATCCATAGCACAAGTGTGCAAATAGATACATCCTTTCCCAAAAGCTAGCACAAATATGATAACACTGTTCACAAAAAAAAAAAAAAATTACTACAGTATAACATTACGGCTAAACAGTAAACACTTGGCAACATTGAGCCTGTAAGACTTAATCCTTTGTTATGATGTATCACTGAGGTGCTGCAACATGCATTTATGATGCCAGAGGATCGATTGATTGACAAAAAAAATCAAGCATTCAGTCACTCACTTCTGGTTTAATCTCGTCTAGCCTCACTAATCCAGGGGGTTCTGTTACATTGTGAAGTTTGCAGAGTTCTCTTACCAACTTCCTCACCATTCGTAATAACTGTAAAAAAATCAACCATTATATTAATGCACTTGACAGAAATAATCCAAACACTAATCCATACTCTGGTCTATGATAGATATCAGTGGGCGAGTGAGATGATTTACAGGGAAAAACATAAAACATTTGTCACTAAATTAATTTCATTTGAAGTGTACGACCTTTGGCCTACAGCTGAAATTCACAAATAATGAGCAAACACTGCATGTTTGTTTATTTTTTTTATTTACAGTGTTTATTTAGATGTTTTTTCTTTGATTCAAGATTTTTTTTTTAATCAAAATGAATTCTTTGTGTTTTTATATTTTGTATTTTTTGTTTACTTTAGTGCTATAACTGTAGATGATGCAGGGATTGAATAAACAGATGTTATTGGTGAATGATGGTGTTGAATAATTTGTCTTTGCTGTCAGCCAACTCAACTACAGTACTGTACGTCCTCATGCAATATAAGAACAATTTTAAGAATTAGGAAACTGATGATTAATATTCATAAAATGATTAACAGCTTTTCCTTCTATATGATCTCTTTTCCATATAATATATGAATGAATAATTTGTATAATTGCTACAATATTCAGGTCAAACATAAAATGGGGTGTTTGATGTTTTCTTTAACTGTTGTTTGAAGTTTGTACAATTGTGATTTCTTACTTAGTGTGTCTAAATGGACTGAAAGAAAAACAAAATACGTACAGGTGATCACTGAATTAAATTGAACAGTCAGAGAATAGGGAATTCTAGTTGATGTTAGAACAATCAAAATAATCTGCATTGAAAATGTAGCTTGATGAATGGTACAGTAAATTTGGTTACATGGTTCTTGGCAAAGTACTGATAAAATTTGAAAAAAAGTGGATTTCTGTATACAGCAGGGGTGGCACCAAGATTTGCCCAATGGGGTTCCCCCTCCTTCCCTCCCCCCTACACTTTCTGGCTCCACTCCTCATATACAGTACTGTACAATATATACAATGTGGAGTACAACGATCTGTGCACTGGATTTGATTTATTCTATTAATTTCATATTTTTTCACTTGTTCCCGGACAAGTACCTTGTCCTGAAGAAAATTTTACTTGTCCCAATTATTGTGCAATAATTATAAAAAATATCTCAAAAGTGAAGTATTTTTGCTACCTGTATGACCCTACAACATTAATAGGCCTACATGCATACTGCATTGATTACTCAAAAATGTTTTTCTTTCTTTTTTTAATTTGCAAGAATGTCAATAATGTATAATATTGAGAAATTTAAATATTAAAATAAACATTATTAATAATAATTATTCTATGTATGTAGGAGTGTGTTGATTGTTTTCTTATTGCTTGCATGTTTAAAAGCCGTCGTCACGACAACTGCCAGTATAAATTTCTCAGGCATTCCCACGATACATGAATTCTCAGCCACACGCTGACAGGACTGTGTTTTATGATGCTATTTGGGGGGAGGGGGAGCAGCAGCCATATTGTATGTTTGTACCTGTTTGCAGATCTTAATCAATTCTAATACTAACTTCAAATGTATTTTTCTTTTTTTTTTGGCGGAGGATACAAAAAACTAAAATTGCACGGGAAGACCTCTAGAAAAATAGATGCGTAGAATCGTAAATACTTGTGTTCCTACTACTGTATGAAGGCCTCAATTTTTTGCAAAATATCCGTGGAAATCGGCTCATATTTTCGAAATGCAGCGACGGATTTCTGGGCCTAATATTTTACGCAGGAAATATTCTACAGCCTCACACATCCTTATTTTATTTATTGCAAAATAAATGAAATTGCTTACCTCTTAACAAAAGACAAGCACTGTAGGCCTATATAGCTCTGAGCATGGGCCGAATCCCTTCTAGAGAAGCTCCGAGAAGGCGAAATTTATAGGCCCTAAACCCTTAATTTTTAACTCCAGTTTTACAAGATTTGGATTTTATATGCACATTATCTCAATCACTTAGAAGTGAATGATTTTTTAATTACTTTAACATCTTTAAATCCCAATTTAACTACCCTTTCTTTAAACCTGTCTAGATTGCCTTACCCACAAGCGCAAACGAAATAGACTAAGCCTTTTTTGTAGTCGGCCTAATGGCTGCTGTTCATATTCGTGCTCGAAAGTAATTATTATAATTACTAGTCTTAATGTCCAGACATTTTGTGTCGTCCAACTCAACTAATCAACTAATGGCTGTGTACTCAAAGTCTTTAAACGTGTCTGGTATTTATAGACTAGATCAGTGCAAAAGTATATTGTAAACAGACCCGGTACGATATCGTGCGAAAATATGCACCTGCTTGTCTAATGTGTACACATACGACAGATCAGGCTAACATTTAACAATTAAAAATTCATCTGATGTCCGACCGTAAAAAAACACTTGTCCCGGGTGTCGGGCAAGTGGGTTCACTCATGTCTGATTATAGCCCACGAAAGTCTAGAAGAAGACATATTTCCAGTGGGGTCCTTCTGGTGGTGATTGGGCAGTGAACCAGGAGACAATCCTCTACTCTTCTCCAAAGTGTGCACTGCATTCCTTAATGTGCACGGGCATAATGCACACGGTACCAACGGTTTAAACGCCTCATCCGAAATACGGTGCGCTACTGCAACTTGTATTTCAGCCTTCCAGCTGAAACACAAGGAGAGGCAGCGATGGGAATTGAACCGGGGAGCTAGAGACCTCCACGGTTCAGTGCACGCACTGTGGCTACCACCAGATTAGCCGACTGACCTAAGCTGCAGTGTATGTAGAATAATCAATTTAAATATGCATGGTACAGTATTATTTTCTGCGATATGCATGCATCACAAAATCCCTAATGTGAATGCTAATGTTACCAGTAATGACATTACTACTAAGTGTGTCAATACCTTAATGAATAAGTCATTCACACCATTAAGAGGTTGGCAAATTTTTAAAATGACATTAATGTTTTGCCCTCTACGCACATAATTTCTGTTATGATGTTGTGCTGAACATTAAACCAAACGATTGAGTTAAATTATTTTATGTTGAGTTGTTAGCTTACTTTATAACCATATCATTATTATGATTCCCAAATCAATAATTCTTAATTTTTAAATGTTAACAAATCTGTGAATGTTACTACTAAGGAGAGAGGTCATAATTCTCAACTTTTCAACCTTTGTGTGTTATCCTCAGCAAAGAGATAAACTGAACATAGTAACTACTGAAATTGTTAAAATATGCAAAGGAGATTAACAATACTAAATTAAAACAATGGTTAATCCCTTCACTTGCATATTATAGCATTTTTAGTAATTTGTGTATCATGTTACTCATGTCTAGAACATGACCTAAAAAAATGCAGCATTCTTGTGGCCTCTGTGTGTGTACAGGTGTGTTTATTTACTGTATACTGTACGTTATTTTATGTTATTTAAACGTAATCAGTGCATCTGGTGGTTATATTATTACTTAATATTCATACATTCTTATTATTCACCATTACATTACAGTAATCATTATCAATCCACTCACCATGAACGCAGAACCTCTGATTTCTGATAATTCTGTAACTACTGTTGATATAACTGGGTCATCTACTTCAGAAAACCAAACAGGAGGTGAAGATGGATATGAGTCCTAAAGCATAAAAAAAACCCAAAGTTAATTTGTTAAATAATTTTCCAGACATAATGACTACCACATTGGAAAATATTATACATTGAAAGCAAACATTACAAATTTAAGTCATCTACCTATTAACTAGCACTTTCACAAGGAATGTTCACAAAATAAATATTCAGCAAATTCATGTATACATGCTATTTGATAGGCTAGATTATTTGCTTATGTAAATCGACCTTTGACATGAGGAGTTGCAAATCAGTGAGATTTACTTTGAATATTGTATTTGCAGCAATTTTCAGAATTAATTTAAACATCTCAACTTTATTTATTGCACTTTAATGATGGGGAACAAGGATACATGTATATCATGGATCGTACAAATTTAGGGTGTGAACCAGTTTGTCTGCTGTATGTATGTATGTAACACCTTGAAAGTCAAGAAATAAATATGTTGTGTTTGCTTTAATATAAACACTGATTACTTATTTTAACCAGCATATTGTATAGTGAGCAATCCAGTTTGTTAAATTTAGAAATACCCTTTTTTCTTGTATTTTATGCCAAGTCTGTCGATTTAAAAAAATATACAATAATTTGTCTGCCTTTCCACAATCTTTTTTTATATTAACATTGTTGTCATTAATATTTATTTAACATTATATAATTATCATAGGGTTTTTAATACTGTTCAATTAATTGAATTGACTGAAAAAATAATTTAAAAAATGTGTTGTATGGGCCTACTGTACATCACAACCCAATTGGTTCTCACTTTACAGTAAATGGTCAACTATAAAATATCATTACTACTTGGTCTATATTATATTAATACAATAATTATGCATGTGAAATTAAATAGCTGCAGTGTGAATCGGCTGCTGGGTATTCTGTAAATTAAACTTGCTACACATTTTTTGGTTGCGTTGATGAATGACTACTGTACAATTGTCCAATCTTGTTGTATTCTCGTTTCAGCCGCAGGCAGCTTCAGTAGCGATATACTGTATGCAACACCAATCAGGAAATGAACATGTCATGGCCAAATACGCTACCAACTATTCCTACAGTATTTGGGTTTTTTTACATGCTTTTGGAATTATCCAATTTATACAGCAGCCAAAAAATATATATATATTTATTATTATTTAAAAGAATTTTTTTTTCTTTTTTGTGAATATGATGAAATCATAATTCCAGTACACCATGGTTTTTGAGATAAAACCACTGGTTGGTTGTCTTGACGTTTCGGTAGGATTGTGAATTATTGTTTCTGTACTGGGCGCTGTTGGAGAACAGAGTAAATTTACTACAGAATTTCGGTTCATCAGTATAAAGAATAAAGAAATAATAACAATTTACATTCATTGAATAATTGGAATGGAATGATTCAACAATGAAGGAAAATTTATATTAAAGTTAAATTAAACCAAGGGGGGAAACAAATAATTCTAGACTAAGAAAACTTATCTACCACTACTGTAAGTATTTGATCTACTCTACTCCTACTATGCCCTGCCTAGCTAGAAGAAGATAGAGAGACCTTTTTGTTGTTTTGCAAATCCACATCTTTTTGTCCCAGTTCAGTCTAAAATAATGTTTAACATTAATATTGTTTATACAAGTATGTAAAATATAAAGAATGCGTAATTTTAATATTATGGTACTTAGTATTTTACAGTTACTGTTAAATGTTTCTGAAATAACGGAAACGGGCTAGGCCCTAGGCCTAAGCTAGGCCATTAACGATCACATTGAAATAACAAAGCCCAACGTGCTTGCGGTTAAAACTCACCGTGAAGTTGCAACGAATGACGAACTTCTCTCTGTTAGCCCCAATGAACTTGCATACAAGTTCATCCATGTTTGCTGTGTGAATTTGAAATCGAACGTCATCTTTCTTGAACATAGACTCTAGCTGCTTAAGTTCTTGCTTTAAATTTTCAACGCACGCCATTCTTACATATTATTTAACGTAATTTTTCAATATTATCTTTGGGACCTAAACAAAAGCAGTGAAAATGGCGTAAATAGGAAGTACGCACGCTCATGTCAGATAGCGCCCGCTATAGTTTCTGATTATGCTTGGGATTACCAAGAACTCGACATTATTTTTATTGTACACTCAAAAGAAAAGCAACGTACGAAAACAGAAATATGGTACGTTATTTAAAATTAACTACAATTCGATATACTGTAATATACTTTATAAAATTGTACGTATCCCAGAATTCTTAGCCAAGATATCTGATAATGTAATATCTTTTCGACACTAAGTGTCCATGATATTATCAATAACTATTGAGGCCTATAATTAGGGCCCCATTGACAGGCCATTATTATAAAATACAGTCACATTTTTAATACAACGACCTGCATAATCGCAGTCAATTCGCTATTTTATTCCGTTTCGTTCAGTTAATTGTTTGCTCGAATTCATTCATTCATTCGTTCGTTTGTCCACCTTCTTCCATCCACCTATTCGTCTGTTCATCCAGTTAATCATTCATTCAACTAATCAAATAATTAATTACGGTAATAAATCAAATGATCAATAAATCATCCATTTACAAAATCAATAAAAAAAATAAAAATAAATGAACAAACACAAAAACAAAAAATAAATAAAAAATAAGTAAATAAATGAAGCAAAAAGTCAATCAATCAATCAATCAATCAATCCGTCAACCAATTAATCAATCAATCAATCAATCATTTATTCGTTCGTCTTCTAATCGTTAGTTCGCTCACGATCACTCACTCGCTCATTCATTCAATCCTTCATTCATTTGCATCATTTATTTATTTATTCATTGGTTGATCCAATCATTTACATACAAATTTTATTGATTAATCGATTGTTAGTATTAATCCATGCATAAGAAATCGAGGGCAACATATGTAAATCAGTGACAATTAAAATTTAAAGGGTTATTGAAGATATTAATTATGGCAATTGAATTTGATTTCCAGCCATAATTTGTAACTTGCATTATCATGAATTTAATATCATTGTGGTGTACCCGGTCACTTTGTACACAATATTATTACACAAATTGAAATGATAAATACGTGCCTATAGTCTTTCACTATTTTAATATAATATGCTTTCCAGTAATAGCCCTGTCTCTTATACACATCTATTCAACACATCTTTGTACTCAAATAATGAAACCTATGTTTAGATTTACATAGATTTAATTTTTGGTAATTGTGGCCCTCCAATTTGGAATTGCCCATACGTCATAAAGTCTCTTCTCAGAGGATACCAATAGTGTACGTTGAAATAAACATCTTTGTCAAGGCGTGGTGACCTACAAGAAAGCTAATCATAATATCTATATTTACGACAAGAAATATTTACATTAATAAACACAATATAAAATGTAAATAGAAAACATACCCGAGTCTGTATAATCTTCAAACTTCATAATGAATAAAAATTAAATATCGAATCATTATGGATCCCTTTTTGGAGTGTCCATGATATTATCAATAACTATTGAGGCCTATAATTAGGGCCCCATTGACAGGCCATTATTATAAAATACAGTCACATTTTTAATACAACGACCTGCACAATCGCAGTCAATTCGCTATTTTATTCCGTTTCGTTCAGTTAATTGTTTGCTCGAATTCATTCATTCATTCGTTCGTTTGTCCACCTTCTTCCATCCACCTATTCGTCCGTTCATCCAGTTAATCATTCATTCATTCATTCAACTAATCAAATAATTAATTACGGTAATAAATCAAATGATCAATAAATCATCCATTTACAAAATCAATAAAAAAATAAAAATAAATGAACAAACACAAAAACAAAAAATAAATAAAAAATAAGTAAATAAATGAAGCAAAAAGTCATTCAATCAATCAATCAATCAATCAATCAATCAATCAATCAATCAATCAGTCAACCAATTAATCAATCAATCAATCATTTATTCGTTCGTCTTCTAATCGTTAGTTCGCTCACGATCACTCACTCGCTCATTCATTCAATCCTTCATTCAATTGCATCATTTATTTATTTATTCATTGGTTGATCCAATCATTTACATACAAATTTTATTGATTAATCGATTGTTAGTATTAATCCATGCATAAGAAATCGAGGGCAACATATGTAAATCAGTAACAATTAAAATTTAAAGGGTTATTGAAGATATTAATTATGGCAATTGAATTTGATTTCCAGCCATAATTTGTAACTTGCATTATCATGAATTTAATATCATTGTGGTGTACCCGGTCACTTTGTACACAATATTATTACACAAATTGAAATGATAAATACGTGCCTATAGTCTTTCACTATTTTAATATAATATGCTTTCCAGTAATAGCCTGCTTGTTTCAACGATTTGTCATTGGCTAAATGTGCTGTATACGTCGAAATTGTTGACAGGTGGAGTGAAATTTTATATATTGACGGTTCTGGTTATTTCCACCTCTTTTTGTACTATGTCTGTAATTGCATTTGTATTCTTTTGTTTTTTGATATGGACAACGCAGAATATGAATTTCGTTGAAATGCGGTAAGCCCTGTGAACAGTCGTGGTGGTTATTCCGTACATGATTAGCATTTATTTTGAATAACTTATATGTATTTCTGGGGTAACCATGACAGACGATTAACTTCCGGAAAACTCCCCACTTTTCCCTCCATCATTGGAGTATCTAGAGGTGTGCTGCCAATCCCCCTCCCCAATAAAGCTCCCCCCACACCCCAATCGTCCCCATTGAAAATGTCCGAAACAAAACAATTACGCTTAAGTAGATAAAAATCACCTCATATCACCTGATTTTGCGATCAAGCACCCCTCACTTTTTCACCGAGCGCCCCCCCCCCCCCCCCCCCCCCCCCCCCCTTCAAAAAGAATCCTAGGTACGCCACACCGGCAATGAATTTTTTCGATGACAGTCTGTGGGAAAATGATGATATTTCTTCTCGGCAAATGTCAGCCATTCAGACTTAATCTGGTCACCGATTATACTTAATGATTTATAAAGTATTCGCTGAAGCGCCCTCTTTCGGTATAAACTTTGTGCGGTAGATAGCTACGTTTTTGTCTTTACAGTAGCACTATAGCATAAGGATTGTCTGAATGTAGATACAGTCAGCTGTTTTTAACCATGCATTACTTTATATAGGCCTAGTAAATCAGATTATCTACTTGGACCAAATATGAACGTTGATTTTAGATTTATATTTGAATGTGAAAGGAAATGTACTTGAGTAGCCAATTATAATATTATATCAACCCGGTCACTGACAATGGAAACCGAAGTAAGTATGTACTGTAGTAATAATAATATCTCTGTTGCAGAATTATAAAGTAATTGTGTGAGTGTTCGTCAAACGCATTAATAAAAAAAAGTGGTTAAGCCGATGTCGAACTACTCGCATACTCGAATAATTTTAAAACAATGTTAGTAGAACATCGGTCATAGTCCAGGCCAAATATGCGTGTCACATTATTATCCAAAAGGAAAAGAATAACAGTAAAAATGTACATGATACGACAGCTAAACATACTAACAAGAGACCTAGAATTTAGATGGATAAGAATGTACAACTACAAAATACATTGTAACTTTTATTTTACACGAAATCTTTACTGACCCGATGTCGTGTTGGTTTGTTTTGTTTTCAGTTGAGTACACGAATGGCCTTTTCATCCATTGCTGATAATAAACCTTTAAAATACAGAAGACACATTCGACATAAGTCTCGGAAAAAGTATGTAGCTCATGGAATTGTCATTGCTGCAATAACTTTTACCGCAACACTTTTCATCAGCCGAATTTTTGATTCGCATGGAACATATCTTCAAGTCAAGAAACGAGACTCAGGAATTAATGAAGTGAAAGGTAAGAAGTATTATTAAGAAGCAGGTTTGTGCACAACTGCTCGCCCTTTCGTTGACTCAACTTCTCGTACAAGGTGTTTGATAAAATATCGTCGTCAAGGTGTTTGATAAAATATCGTCGTCAGATTCTTGTATTATAGGCTATTTATTTCTTTTTTAGGCACCGAAATGTAACAAAGAAACAAACGCACAACATATATAAAATAATCTTGAATTATGAAAAGAAGCGAAAGCGATGTACAATATATTTCCTTAAAAAATTAAGGGGAGGATTATTGTGCAAATAACTAAAATACTATATTCGAATTTAACTGATATAAACTAATAGCAACTCCATACATTTTTAAAAGGTGAGGCAAGAGGCAATACACTTTAAGGTGCAAAGACGACTCACCAGCAATGACAAGATATTAAGTTATTAAAGCGAATGATTAGAATATTATAGGCCTAACAAACCACTGTCAAATTTAACCAAATTGATGTCCTTGTAACAAAATATCATTCTTTCACATTACCCTGGTTTCATTGATAAATATTAGTAATAATAAAATAATAGTGTAGTTTTATATAGCTCCGTATTCAACAAATAAAATGCTCACAGGGCGCTTGATATGTGGAAACTCGATCAATGACTTTCGTTGCCCCAAGGGTCCCTTGGTGTCTGTGCAACCCGGTAATCCGGTACCAGCAACTCTCGTCGTCTACCCTAAGGGCTATCTGTACAAATGCATCGGGGTATCCCCCACTCGTCTCGAATGATATACATGGATCTTTATAGTGCAGTGCACATGAGTCGTACACTGGGCCTACGATTTATCATCCTTATCCGAGAAGACTTAATAAAGATAAATTTAAATTGAATGCTTGAGGTTCCCTCGATTTCATCAGCCAATTTTTCAATTGTACGGACACCTATCTGTTAACAAATGATTCGTACACTACTGCAGCCTACCTGTTGTTTACCTCAAATGGTAATAATGCTGGTATATCAGTGCCCTGCAGAGTAAAACTTAATCACCCATATCATGGTGAAATTATCTCAGTCTGAGTAGTGACTTGAATGCATAATTATATTTTATTACAGCCCTGTCATATGACAATATTGTGTTTTAATATAGGACAATAGCTAAAACTGCGACTTACAGTAATGGCAAATAATAATAATAATAATAATAATAATAATAATAATAATAATAAAAATAAAAATAATAATAATAATAATAATAATAATAATAATAATAATAATAATAATAATAATAATAATAATAATAATGATAATAATAATAATAATAATAATAATAATTCTGGATTTATATAGCGCCTCACGTTGACACAACCTCCAGGCGCTTAACAACAACAGAGAAGAAAAAAACCAAAACAAATGCAAATGTACCAAAAAAATTATTATCAAATAAAAGCGCCTGAGTGTGCTAATTCAGTACTAAAAATATAGTAAATTCCTGCTCCATCGGAAATATTTCTGACCATTTAGTACCTTCTCCGTGGTCTCGACCTCACACCAACTACGCTAGTAAAATCCCCCCCCCCCTGTTACAGCCTGACAAGCAGTGTTGGCGCCAGCATTTTCCCCTTGGAATCAATGACAATTTAGGGCTTTGAAAAGGCTAATATATAATTGATATTGTCTAAATATATGTAAAAATACATTTAATTCTGTTTTATCCCCTTGAATTTGAATTTTTCTCGGACGTAAGTATAATACCGTTCCTGTATGTTATTGCACAGTCTTGTCAATTTACAAATCTCTTATAAGACGTCTGTATTCCTAAATTTAAATCTTAAAATATGCATTTCATTGTTTTGACTGAGTTTTTGAGGGTTCAGTTAGGCAAAAAAAAAAAACCCAGTATAGATTTATGTTTATAAAACACTTAATCCTTTCTTGTTTTCCTACTCAAAACATAGAACTAAGTAGGAACTGTACTCCATCAGCTGTTGAAAGTTTTCCGAGTGGATTTTTTACCAAAGAGCAACGGCAAAGAGGAGCAGTCATCATCAATTTTTTAGTGTCTTTTTATATATTCGGTGCCTTGGCTGTTATATGTGATGACTACTTCGTTCCATCTCTCGAAGGAATCACTGAAGGTAAGGCTTTGTCTAACCTGCCAAATTTGCATGGGAATAAGAATGGAAGACAATCTTAGGCCTAACAACAATTCAATGAATAAGTACGTATAATGATGAGGATGAGAACATATAAACACTTGTTGTGAAATCTAAAGTCACCAATAAAACGTTCTTCCTCTTCTTATATTATCTTCTTTTCAATTCATTTTTCATGTGTCAGAAAAAATTCTGGGTTTCAAGACTGTAATGGAAGTTGCAACCCACCTCTGCACTGTTTCGAATATTAGCCATGTATATAATGTAGATTGGACATTAATATAAAGTCGTAGGCCTATGTCTATTTATATCTCGTATTTTTCTAATTCCGACTGCAGTTGTATTTATTAACACTTTAACAGCTTGCTTTTTCTCTCTATTAAAGGTCTTAACATATCTCCAGATGTTGCCGGTGCCACCTTCATGGCTGCAGGAAGTTCAGCACCGGAGCTGTTTACGTCAATTATCAGTAAGAATTCCTTCATGGCCTCAGCTACCAAACACAGACTATCAGGCAAAAAAACCTTCGAATGAATCGAAAAACTTTCTGTAGGCAGAGCGTCACTTACGAATAGGCAATAGCCAACAGAACTACCTATTTATTTAAACATTATTTTTGGTTCATAAATATTCTTTGTGAGTATTTAAGCGAGTACTTATTAGAGTCCAAGAATCGTGATGCATAACAACATGGGTATGCGAGGCCTGCTGTTTTCGCCTTATGAGGTACTTACGTTGACTTAATTTTTGTTTTTTTTGTTTTTGTTTTTTTTGTTTCAGGTGTTTTTATAACTGGAGGCGAGATTGGAATAGGAACAATCTTAGGTTCAGCAGTCTTCAATTTGCTGTTTATAATTGGTATTTGTGGCCTCCTCGCTGGCATGGTAGGACGAACATTTGTGTTAACTGTTAAATAACGGTGTAATTATATAGGCCTATGCTTTACTAGTAACACATGAAAGTTTAACTACATTTTAGCATGCACTATAGACTACAAATTGTAGATACAGTTTACACATGGTCTTACCACAGCTAAGCCCCGCCCCTTGGATGTTGTTGCTAAGGTCCCAAAAGACGACAGTTTGTGGGACAACGCACGATGTTCTGATTGATCAGTTGTTAAATTTGATTGACACTCCGGGACGGTATCTGGTGACCTAAAAACTGGAAAGATAATATGTTGAAATTGATTGCTTTGTATAATTATGTTATTAGTTTTTATTTGAAAATTAGAATCATCAGATACATAAAAATACTGTTTTATGGTCTCTGGCTAAACTTTTGAATTGGCTGCTAATTCATTAAAAAAAAAATGATAGTTACAAAAATGTATGTATCAACGAAAAAAATACCCCAACAAAAAAACAAAAACAAAAGAGCAGACAGTATGAAATATATAAGATTATGTCTACAGTAGACTTGAAGCTACAATTTGATATACGGTAGGAAAGCATGGAAGTGAAACTGAATGTTTTAGACAGAATTTAATATTTACTCACATACCAGGGGCGGATTTAGGGGGGGCCGGCCCGGCCCCGGCCCCCCCCCTTTTGGGAGGTAAAAAAAAGAAAAAAAAAAAAAAGAGAGAAAAAGAAAAAAAATGATAGCCCAGAATGCCTCAAATGTTATGTTCGGACCCCATACGACAGTGTTGTCTCAATCGGCCCAACTTTCGGCCCCCCTTTTGGACATTTCTGGATCCGCCCCTGCATACTGTATTCATAGTATTTTCAAATTAATAAACATGTGTAATAATATTTATTTTAAGGTCATACGGTTACTATTTTGGCCCATGTTTCGTGATTCCTTATGTTACATCATCAGCATCGTCGCTCTTGTCATTGTGATTTCTGATGAGACGATCCAATGGTAAGTTGGAATAGGCCTATTGCTTTTGTATTTGATAATTTCATAGGCCTATTGAAAGTCTTATAAAGACATTATATAATTATCACACTTGTATGTAATTAGATTTGAATAACATATAATTAGAATCATAATAAACAAATTCAGACCAACCATTAAATTAATGATATGAGTTAATGATAATATTAAATAGTAATTGGATTTGTATAGCGCATCATAAAAAAAGCCTCTATCCGCTTGGTGATTGAGTTTGATATTTTAGTTAAGTGAAAGAAAAAAATATGTAACCCTACAAAATTAAACTTACTCATGCTAGGTACCTATGTATTGAAATCGGCGATTTTTGCGAATTTAATCGTAGCCCTACAGTTCATAAGCTTTTGCCCAATTTAAACCTCTGCATAAAGGCCTGTTTATACTTCAACGATAACGATAAAAGACTAAAAAGCGATTGTTCATATAGAAAACAAAAGAAATAAGCGAAGTTTTTAAACTAGGACGATTCGATAACGATTTATCGTGTATACGATAACAAAATATTTTAACAAACCAAATCAGATGACGTCATTATCATGGTAAAAAGATAAAATCGTTGCTACTACTTTCTAGTGTATAAACTTTTCTTATTTATTTTATTTTCTATATGAACAATTGCTTTTTAGCTTTTTTATCGTTATCGTTGAAGCATAAACAGGCATTTAGACTTATTGTGGAACTGTTGTGAACTTTCTATCCTACCAAACTTTTGATATATCAAATTCCCCTATCCTTGTGGTGTTTAGTCGTCAGCCCAAACGCGTGTCTAATCACACAACAGTTTAGACCTAATTATTGTTTCCCTCGTTTCTTATTAAATATCGATAATACATAGTGACTAATCATTTTACACCCATAGCAACACTACTTTCTTGATTTGATCAATATTTGTTGTGACCTATTTGGAGTTTTATTTTATGTCGTTTCAGGTACGAAAGTCTTATATTATTAATACTATACGTGGGCTATATTCTGCTAATGTATTTCAACGAAAGTCTGAAGAATATCAACAATAGTATTTTAAATATTAATGGACACATGCCACCGTCTGAAAATAGCTCACTGATCGAGAACCGTGAAGGCAATGATATAACATTGATGAATGATAAGAATCTACAATGCATTGAAGTAAATTGCAGCAATGGGATAAGCATGCACACGTCATCGAATAGCCTGCAAATTAACGAAACCGGTTCGTATGTTAACATTAAATGTGAACATGTAAATGTAAATGTATGGTGATCTTTTGTTAAGCCGGGCATTAGCTGAGCACGATGGTCGTCGTCCGGCCGACGCAATTCCATTAACACAAAATGCGCGCAACGGATCGTTTGTAATGACGATCTGTTTAGACTGCTGCCATCCGACGATCAGCAGTCGTTGCAGCGGAGCTCTATTCGTCGGCCGACGGTTGTACGACGCAGTTAATGCCCGGCTTTAAAAGTCTACAATAAAATTTGGATTAGCACTGTCCCCAGCAACATCAGTACACCGGGAGACAATATTTTAGCTTTTCTAAGTGTGCAAAGTTTATTTATTGCGCACAGGAGCAATATACACCTGAGCCCAGCGGCTTAACGTCCATCCGAAGGAAGATGTAAGAAGAAAGTGTATTGCCCAAGGACAGAAACAAGTACGACTCGAACTTGGTCCGTCTCGCACCAAAGTTCAATCCCTACTCGCCCTCATTGAGGCATACTATTAAAGAACTTATAGTTATAGGTATATTATTAATTAGTAACGAAATTTGATGGCAAAAGGCAAACAAATTTGTCATTCACGAGTAAGATCCTCAGAGACCATTGCATGAAAAACTTAACATTGATAATTTGATAGCATCTTTTAATGTTTTGCTTCTTGTGTCAACTACAGACGAATCTAAGGAGCAAGATCATATTTTGGCGGTTCCCGATGGTGTTGTTTGCCGTTGTATATGGCTCATAGCCTTTCCAATATATTTATCATTCTATCTAACCATTCCGGACTGCCGTCGAGTGCGTTGGAAAAGCTGGTACATGATTACGTTTCTGAATTCCGTGATATACATTGGTGGATTATCGTATGTACTAGTGTGGATGGTTTCAATTATTGGTAGGTGGGCGTCCTCTTCAATTTGACATATGTTTTTCTTTTGTTTTTATTACCGTATTTGACCATAAAATTGCACTTTTAACAGTAAAAAAACGTTGTGGTGGAATGGGGTAGTACGCTTTCCTAACCGTATATCACCTAGGACCACACCACCAGAGCTAGTCAAAGTGAATCTAAAAAGTATGCATATTCATAGTCATCATGCGGCATAAAATCATCATCGTCATATTGATGATGATCATTAATATCATCACCATCACATCATCGTCACCGTCATTATTGTCGTTATCATTATCATTATCTCTATTATCATTATTATTATTATTATTATCATCCTCATAATCATCATCATTGTTGTCATCATTATCATCATCAATATGCCTGTATATTATTGAAAATTATGTTTCTTTGCACTAGGTGATACATTTAGCATTGATGATTCTATCATGGGACTGACATTACTTGCGGCGGGGACAAGCATCCCTGACGCTATGGCAAGTGTACTTGCCGCAAGAGACGGTAGGTATCGTGACGAAGGGCCATCATTTTAAGTCCGTACGCACTTTTACGTCATACAATACCGGTTTGTCGTCAATAAAACGAAGAGCTGAATTGAATTGTTTCCTTTGAAGGGCCGAGTTTAAAACATTTAATCAACGGGCTATAATGTTGGTTTCATGCCTATGCTTTTCAATGTTCTTAAGTTTTTTTAAAAAATAAAATGTTACGGTATAAACACAAAAGTCCTACAATATTTTAATATGCGGGCTAGCTATTCAAAATCAGTGGCGGATTTAGGGAGTGAATAGGGTGTGGCTAGATACCTATACCTATATATCTATCTCTGCCACAAACATCTGAATTGCTTATAATACACGACTCGAGTGCGTGTGCGTGCCTTTATTATAATTTAAGAAGTATGAGAAAAAGCGTGTAATAAGATTGGTTTTCGGCACATGAAGTAGGTAATGTAAATTAAATACATCAAAGACACACTTAAGCTTTATTTTCTATAAAACATCACAGCGATTGATTAGATTGATGATTTTACTATTATTATAAGTATCATCTTATTTCCAGAAATCCAGAGGTACTATTTCTTCAAATTTTCCTACCTCTGCCTCAAATATGGTGTGGTAGGTAGGACTAAAGTAAATACATCGAAGACAACGTTTTTTTTTTATTTTCTATGGTACGTCACACATATTAATTATAGATCTCTATGGTTGCAAAAATTGCTGGTAAAACGTTGGCGCTTCTTTTTGACTATATAATGGCGATGTGATGATAATGCATTTTACTATATAAAAGTGTCAATTCCGGGCAACCAGAGGTACTATTTTCTCAAATTTTCTTACTTCAGCTGAGGTGGATGTGGCTCACGGCTTTGAAGTTAGTAATGTTAATACATCAAAGACAATGTATTTAAGTTTGATTTTCTATGGTACACATATTAATTAGATTTCTATGGCTTCAGAAAATCTCTCATAAGGATAGTGAGAAATGTGTTGGCGCTTCATTTTGACTACCGTATATAATGGTGATGTAATGATGATAACCTCCGGCCATAGAGGTACGGTACTATTTCCTAAAAATGTTTGCACCGCACCTTTCAAAACATCTGCGTCCTGACCAAATCCATGACTACCTCCCGCCCCCCACTGCTTGGAGCTTGCACCATTATCCACCCCCACTGCTAAATCCTAGATCCGCCACTGAAAATGTTGGTTTCAGGCATATGCATTTAAGTGTTTTTTTAGTTTAAAAAAAAATAAAAACAATGTGAAGGGGATAAACACAAAAATCAACATAATCTTGACAATCTTTTGGTAATTCAAAAAATTAACGTATCTAGGGTTTTGACGTGTTCAGCATTAATGTCTTTAGGATTTCGATATCATATAAAACATAACACATTTAATGCTAAACATGTCAAGATCATAACCAAAGAAGCCTATAATGCCTAAACACGTTTAGCTTGAAGAAGTGTCACTAAAATATTTACAAGCGTGGACCGTTGTGTTTAAACTCTCCACCATATTTTTTTAAGAATGTATGAATACAAAAAAATATATAATTTTATTCCCTTTCAGGATTTGGCGGCATGGCAATCTCGAATTCGATTGGTAGCAATATATTTGATATTTTGCTCTGTCTAGGTTTACCATGGTTCATTCAAACATTTATTGTGGACTTCAATGGAACAATCGGTATTCCATCATCGAGCCTTCTATTCACTGCCATCATGTTACTCGCAACTATGTTTGTAACGCTACTTGTGTTCTACTTACGGGGAGGCCAGCTTAACAAATACACTGGATCTCTTTTTATTATAGCCTACATAATATTTCTCACAATTTGCATTCTACATGATACGAACATAATTGGCAATGGTACAGCAATTATTACGTGCCCTACATAATGAAAGTCTTGTAACAGATATGAGAATTATCTTTTAAAATATAGAGTGATAAGAGTGTACAATTAATTGTTAAATGGTTGAAATCAAGATTTGTTTATACCTAAAATATATATAGGGAGGACAACTTCAACCCCACTTGTTTATAATTAGAGACTATAATGGAACAAAAAAAATGACACTAGTATTCCGAGGCCTAGTAATATTAACTCGCTAGGAATCAAACTAGTCTCCTGATGTTGGCCTTTAACCAACAATGGGGATTTCGTTTCAAATTCGAATCCAATTAGAGGCGACTGATCACACTATGCAGGTATAGTATGATATTAAACGATCGAGATAAAATATATATTACATAGTAAATACGATAATACACTTCTTATTAATTTTGAATATGATATATCCCAAATCTTTGCTAGCATTGGCTATGTAGATGTTAAGTTTGAGAATCGATTTGAGCTCGGTATCACCGGACTACTTAATGATCAAACCGTTAGCTATGAAAATAGATTTAACGTTGCCTATTATGTAATAAGAATTCAGATTAACTTATATTTACAAATTTTCATCTTATATTATTTTGGATTGTCAACACTGTTCTTATTCTATTGCTTAATCGTATATACATATAAAGAAATTTATAATATTTAAGTTATTGTTATGAATAGAAAATATATTTACAAAAAAGAAATGGAATGCTCATAATAAAAATTTTCTGTTGAATTTTAAACTTCTCTAATTTAAGTAATATAGGCCTATGAATTATTATTTTTGAGCCGAATATGTTAAAGAAATATTTAATTGTTTAATTTGGGTTTTCCATTTCCAAGCTATGCTTCAGGAATTTCCCATTTTTTTTGGTCTTCAAAAATGAATTTATGTACATTTATATATTCGTTAAATTAAAAAAAATATTTTGTCATTGGCATTGTCATTATTATTTCACAGAAGCCTATATTTAAAAGAGCTCTTGTTGTTATTACACCTGTTAAGGAAATCATAAGAATTATAATGTGGGCATCAAGCATCTCTAGATGGTTTATGATTTATTTCTTCGTCATACTCTGTAACAATAACAACTTTAAATACGACTTGCGTCGTCTTGAGACAATTCATTATACAAATAAATATATATTGTCGTTCCTATTTTGTTTGTTGGTCATACTGGTTTGATTAGCTTTAGTAACATGATATAATTATTTTCCTCCAACGCCGATTTGACATTCAGAGATCTAAGTCATGGCTTGTGATCAATATAGCTGGCGACAACCTGCTGGTAGTAATTAACGCACAATATTCTGCTTCCCATCAGAAGTATAGTTTTAAAATAAGGTCTAGGTTAATGAAATTGCTAGAGTCATCTTCAAATCAAATCATAACATTTATTTTTCTCATTCTCCGTGTTAACAGAAAACAAATTACAAAGATAACTACTTCTCAAAAGCTTTGCAGTAGGCCTACGCTGCATACAGAGACCTCGATAGCAGACAGAAACGTCCAATGTTTCATTGACAGGAAGAACTACAAAGGGCATCTTTACATGAATTGCATAATCATTTCTTGTGGAGTAGCTGACAATACCCAATATGGCTCTGGGAGCAAATATATATCTGTGGAAGATGAGGGTGCGAGACTGCATATATTGAATTTATTTGAAAATATACTTACTCGCTGTCGTTTTCATAGCAGCATCATCGAAGGGGCGGTGCTTTATCTAGTCAGACTGTACTGTACTACTTTTGAAAACCCTTCGGGATCTGGATCGATAATAGACCTTTCCGGGGTGTCAATCAAACTTATCAACTAACTAACCAGAACAGCGCTAGGAATGCGCGCGCGTCTCACAAACACACGTGTCGTCCTGCAAATGCACGTGTTCCCGTATGTTTTAACACTGTCGTCTTGTAGGACCTTAGCAACAATATCCAAGGGGCGGGGCTTAGCGGAAAGGTCCATTGGCAGTCTCCAAAAAGAGGCATTACGACGTCAACAGGGTTTTGGTTTTATACTTGTCACTGGACACCACAGAGTCAGTCTTGCTTACACAGTATTAATATATGCCAAATATATTGCATGAAAATCATATTTTTTCTCAACGTAGCTTAGGCATATAAGCCTGATAATACAGTGTCTTATACTTCCAAATACTTTCTCGAAGTAGATATAAAGAAACATACAATAAATAATGCCCCGTATATTAATATAAATATTAATTTGACCTTGATTATTAATACGAGAGCAGAGAGTTCGTGTACTAACCGGGAAAAGCAACTACGGTACATTTTCCAGAATGATGATCAGAATTATGTTGTGTAATACATATCGTGTGCACTCGTTTAACGTATTTTAGTTTTACGAGGAATACTATAGAACAATAATATTATAATAATATTATTATTATATTATAAGAAATGACAACAGCACTTTCATAATTTTATAGTTAACCTTAAAGGTGCTGTTATCATATCTTATATACAGTAGTTTATGAGGTACTGTAGGTTTTTTTTTTTGTCGAATTCATCTTGCTTATTAAGGAGTTGATCAATGTTTATCATTCTAAGATCTAAAACTGCAGTCATGAAACCTATGCCTCGCTATCGTCTTATCCAGTTTTAGCATGGTTATAGGGTGAACTTTAAAACTAAACTGCATCACCGATCTGTTACTGACTAGTTTGTACAGTGAAAGTACCAGTTAGTGTAATAATTTATACAAATTTTGTATATTTCAATACAAGTGGATCTATGCCATTTGGCCGAATACCAGAGTACCGATTCCAATCAGTTTGCCAAATATCAGATTTTCAACTCAACGATATCAATTCCAAGTTGGCATGCCGAATGTCAATTTCGCAACCAAATCAAACAAAATTGAAACCAATACGGTAGTGCTGTAAATATAAGTTTTTATTGAAAAGTTATTTCCACTTCTCCAGTCACATATAAAAACACGTAAAATTACACTAGTGTCAGAGATCCAGCAATTATTGTTTGTTTGCCTCACACAAGTTTCGGTAAATTGGTTCCTGCAATAAAGTCTAGATCATCGGCTAACCAGATCTCGGAATTCGAGGCCTCCTCCACATCAATACGCCTGCTTTTCCTTTCTTCCATAAACATCCGGAAATAACGTTGACGCCTTGCCACTTCTGCCGTTAACTCTCGCTCACTGCGTAGTTCTTCAACTGTCTGTGGACATTTCAGGATAATGGAGTAATAAGGCATCAGTATAGAAAGGTTTTCAACTGTCTCAAGCTTTTTAAGTGTCGCTTGTAGTATTATATCTGTATATAACAGTTTAGCGTTCACGCACCCATTTTGTGTTTCGCGCAAGTGTGACCTAACATTCTCAAAAACCTTTAACAGATATTGCATTTTGGATTCCAGCTCAGACTCGAGTTCAAGAATCCCTCGTTGAGTGTGCAAGAGTTTGTACCTTAGGGATTTGATGTTCCTGAAAATTAGCGCGGCACACTCTGATCCTGTTCTTAGATTAAACTCATTCTCGTAAAAATCCTTATCATCAGTGGCCATTTTTTCTACGTTTGATTTTGACATTTGACGTTGCTTTACTGACTTTTTTTCAATTAAAAACGGTTGAGCGTGTCAGTTTTGAGGACAGTATGCAGTGGACTACTTAAGCAGGTTTGGTAGAGATTTTTGTTGATAGAATAGAAGCAATCTGAAACGCATGGCAACGTGTTATAGATGCGCGCGTACTTACGCACAAAGCACATGCATTACGCTGGTTCCTACGTTCGTCTCCCTCAATATAAATTCTCGTCTCGTCGGCTCTAAATCTAAATAAATATTTTATTAAGTCACAGCGATTAGCACCAATCCATCTCCAAGACGAAGGTACTGGTAATTACACTGGTATGGTATTACTTGACATTCAAAAATCTTTTGATACTTGACTCAATTGGATGGTTTAAATCTTGTTTAGCAGATCGCAAGGCGACAATTTTTATACCTTATTTAGCGAATCCGCCGCTCACCAATAATAATTTCCAATAAAAATAAAAATATTTTTTGGCCAATTAGGACACCTGCCGCAAAAAAAATAAAAAATTCATAAAAAAAATAATTAAAAAAAAAAATTAATTACGCCCGCCACTGCCTTGAAATCTCTAAAAATAAATATTTATATAAGCCTTATTTCTTCCTGATTAGGTCTATATAAATTTAAGGCATTTAACCACTTATAAAATTTACTTTTTTTCTCCTCCGCCTGGATGATTTTGGCAAAACCACTTTCTAAATAACAAAACAAAATTCTCCTCTGACGATTTAAAAAAAAAAAAAAAGTTCGCAAAACAAGGTAAAAAAAAGTCTAGCCTCAACAGGTTGAAACTAGTGGTGTCCAATCGTACGTACCCATTATCAGTTAATAAAGGTGTTCAAGAGGATAGCATAACTAGGGTTGTTGCTATATCTTTGATTAATCGATAACAAAGGTTCTTTAAACCATACAATTTTGGTACTAGGAACAAATTGAAAAAGGGTTAATAGTATTTTCACAGTTGCATGTAACGGCAAAAAGAATTACCTAGAAATAACTCGGTAAAATATTTAGCCTGTAGTCTCTTGATGACGTTCGTTCTTTCTGGTGAATCCATTGCTAACAATTTTTTAAAGAAGAGCAACTCTCGCTTCAGATTTCTGTACAGACATGCTAGATCACTTTAATAAAAAAAAACAGAACAGAACAACTATGTGTTCGGCCCTCATCCAGTGTCACTACGATTATTCATGTTCATCTTGGTACTCACGACTTCTTACTAAATTTAAATATATACTCCAAGTAACTCAAAATAATAGAGTTAAATTTATTTAGATCATGGATTCCCGTCCTCAATATCGATCAAAACAAACATAATAAAATTAACCAGTTTAGGTAGAAGACAAAGTTAAACACGTACAATTGACTCATGTCATGAGTTTACAACAAATATTCTATTTCGTATACCGTAAAACCTCGAATTGAAGCACATCTTGAATTGAAGCCCCCCACCCCTTTTTAGTTTGCAAAATTAGCCTCGAAAATAAGCCCATCTTAAAAAGAAGTCCACGGGCTTTCACGATAGAATAGGCTTCTTTTCGAGATATTAGTCACATACACTATACATCAATTTCAGAAAACAAAATAAATTATTAATTTATTTAAAATACAAGTTTGGTTTATACAGTAGCTTAGGTGATTCAATGCCAGTTAAATAGGGCCTACACTCCATGATACAGATTGATATTACAGTGGCCTTATTTATTGTTTTATAATACAAATTCACAAAATTTACAGCATTCATTTTGAAAAGAAGTCCCCCTTTTTACTTTGCAAAAGTAGTCTCGAAAAGAAGCCCATCTTGAAAAGAAGCCCATTTCGAAAAGAAGCCCATCCAAAGTTTGCACAGAAAAGAAGCCCAGGGCTTAAATTCGAGGTTTCACGGCATGGAATCTAATTTTTAAAAAGTATCTGAAAGTCACAAGGATGTTACCAGAAGCAATATGTATATTATTGTTATTTACTTAAAGCTAGTAGCCATAATATACAACTTTCTTTTATACTGGAATTAAGGAATAGAACAATCTACCAAGTACTACACAATCTTTCAAACGTAATCCAGCGTTACAAAAAGATCAGAATTTTAAATTTGCTTTTCACGTGCAAGATTGCTTTCTGTCTTTTCCATTTAATGGGTTTTTTATATTTTTATTCTGTATGTTATTGGTTTTTTTTTTCCATTCCATGCTTCAAACTTTAGAATTCGAATGTGTTTTATATTGTCTGTTTTTGTTGGTTTTAATGATGCCGGTTGATGTTGGGCCCCAATTAAAATATGCCGTCTTATTGGCTTTTTGTGTAATAACCTGGTCTAAAACTTGGTTTTGTTTAATTGTTTTTTATATACAAAATGTATCTTTTGTGAATGTTTTCAGATCTTTCCGAACAAAATAAAATCACATTAAGTATTCTAATTGATATATTTGATGTAGGCACTAATGAAAATAAAATAAAATAAAACCTCGAATTGAAGCCCTGGGCTTCTTCTTTTGCGAACTTTGGGTGGGCTTCTTGTCGAGGCTACTTTTTCAAAAGAGGGGGACTTCTTTTCAAAATGAATGCTGTAAATTTTAAATCACCTAAATTACTGTATAAACCAAGCTTGTTTTTAATTCATTTTGTTTTTTGAAATTCATGTAAAGTGTATGTACTGTACTATCGTGAAAAGAAGCCTATGCTATCTTGAAAAGAGATTCATGGACTTCTTTTCGAGACTAATTGTGCCAACTAAAGAGGGGCTTCCGTCAATTCGAGATGGATTTAATCTCGAGATTAAGCCCACTGGGCTTCAATTCGAGGTTTTACGGTAATCAAATCAATGAAAGGTTTGTACAGGGTTTATATGGGTAGACTATTGTCCGGATTTTAGATAATATATCAACTAATGCAAAAGCTAGGTCTAAAATCACATAATGTCATTTTCAGCAATATGAGAATATGGGGAACTACCTACACCACATATTACCCTCTGCTGGCGGTGACTAAAATCGTCAGGGAAACCACTCTATTTGTTTGAATTTACAAGAAAACTCAAAGAAATAAGTTAATGGTGTGTGCAGTATATATTCAAAGTTAAACTTTATTCATCATTTATCGGAAATATAATATTTTATGAATTTTATTATTTAAAAAAAACCCCCACAAGTATTAATATTAAGATATAGAGAGAGTTACAACATTTTCGTAAACTCTCACCTAACAACAGTAAAAACACAGCAGGACTAAATAGCTCTGTACGGTACATACAATGTAAAGACTTTTGAATACAATGGATCAGGCAGCATTATCAACCACCAAATCATAAATAAAATTAACATGGACTGAAAGATGCAGACAATAAGCAAGTGTCATGATGAAATTTGGAGCCTTTGCTTATTACTTAAAGCCACTGCAAGCCACAATGTTTTAGTTTATACCTAACAAACTATGATACCTCCATGGGAAACCCCTCCATGGTGCCTCCACCAGCACAAATCACAATACCCCCATACGCCTACAGGTTTCTCCACTAATACAATGCTGTGGTCAGGTGGTACCAGAGTACCTCAGCGATGTCCCAAAGTACACCTCAATATCATAATGGGGAAGTTTGTACCCCATGATGCCTCTTACCACAATTTTATAGTACAGTAATATTTTTGGTATCAACTAGCACCAATCTGTGGGAGTTGGTGCCTCTATGATGTCACATGACCTCACAATCCTGTGGTTAGTTGGTACATATGGTAAAGCTACCAAAATAATCTGATTGATGATACTTTTATTGTGCCAGCACCATAATATGAAGTTGTTTTCTTCATTTGGTCCATTTATGACAATGGTGTGTTTAGTGGGTACTTCTTCACCTGCTGGTAGCATACTGTGGAAATTAGTACAGGTATACCTACATGGTACTCCACAATGCTGAAATAATAGTACCTTCATATGTACCGCCAAGGTGCCAACTACCACATTGCAGTAGTTAATTGGTAACTCCATGGTGCCCACTACCACAAAGCAGTAATTAGTACTGGTACCACTATGGTGCTCACTGCCACAATGTAGTAGTTAGTAGGTACCTCAATGATGGTAGTGCTTATCACCACAATGCTGTGGTTAGTTAAGAGTCTATTAACCAATCTTCATCATAACTGTCATCAGAACTCATGTCAACACGATTATTCCTCACCTTCTTTTCTGGCAGGGAAATCTGCCGTTCCTATTTTAATAAATGAAGAAAACATTGTTTTAAATGATTAAATTGTTAATGTTCGACCAACTGCCCTAAGATCAATAAACTTATATAGTCCTTATACCAATTTAAATTGCCATTCAACTTGGATCTGCCTCGTTAAATGGAACAGCCAATCTCCAACTCATGAAAAGTATTCTTTCCATTGCATGAATACAAAACACTCATTATTTGTATATTACAGGACATATACAGGTAATTGTGAATGCTGTGTTAGTTATAAGCAAGGTGAAGATTATATACAGTAAAATAGGACACATACACAAATGTAGCAGTTGGCAGCCTATTGTTACAATGAACATATATATAT